GTGTAGTAGTCAACAACCAGCAGGAAGTAACGCTCCAGGTCCGTCCCACCGACTGGGGCCGGGCCCCACACGTCCAGGTGGAGAGTCTGCAGAGGAGCAGTAGTCGGAGGAAGCTCGGAGGAGTGAGGAGCGGCGCGCTGCCGCTCCTCGACGCAAGGAAGGCACGGCGGCGTAAGTGAGCGCGGGAGGGGGGGCAGGGTCCTGGGGAGGCCAGAGAGAAGGAGACGGGAGTGCATACTGCGTAGACGCTGCAGGGAGGGGTGACCAAGACGGTGGTGCCGGCGCTGAGTCTCGTGCGTGAGTACTCTGCACGAGCAAGACGCAGCTAACTGCCCCGACTCAGACGCCCGACTCGACGCAGCCACCTGACCTGACTCAGCCACCTGTGCAGACGCAGTGGTCAGTGTGTACAGACTAGACCCAGGCTGTCGAGTGAACGTAGCCAGGTGACGGCCAGTCCGGGAGCACGTACAGATCGCCACACGCTGCCCTCCAGGAATAAAGGTATCAACCCAGACATCCTGAATGGCAGCGTTGCTCACCAAGTTCGTCGAGAACGTGGGGAGGTGGAGACCTGACAGAGAGCCGGAGGGGACTGCTGGACAAGGGAGGACCGTGGAGGCTCTCGCAACTACTGGGCCCCCGGAGGGGTCAGCCAGTGAGACTGGGACAGGTGCTGTGAGTGGTGTGACTGGTGCAATCACGAAAGAAGCAACGTGACGCGCCTGAGTCAAGCGTGAAAGTGTGCAAGACCTCAGCTGAGGCAGGACCTGTGGTAGGAGACGCACTAGCACCTAGAGCGTCGGCAGACTCACGGGCACCTAGAGCTGCAGCAGGCTCACTAGCACCTGGAGCGGCAGCAGACTCACTAGCACCTGGAGTAGCAGCAGACTCACTAGCACCAAGAGCAGCAGTCTTAACAAAACGATAACCTCCACCACTAGGACGTCCTCGCTGAATAACCCACTCACGAAGCTACTGAGGGGTGGGGTTGTCCGGGAGAAGTAGTGCCCGCTGCTGTCCACCCCTGACCGCAGCAACTGCCGCGGAAGTGGCCATGACAGACAGTGACGGTCAGGAGTAGGTCCAGCACCTCCAGCTCCTACAACACCAGCAGCACCTCCTGCACTCCCAGCAGCACCTCCACCACTCCCACTAGCACGAGTAGCAGCAGCAGCATTAAGAGCAGCAGGGCGGCGCGCGGCCACAGCAGGGAAGTAGTAGGCAGTAGCTCCTAGGGCAGAAGCACCTAGGGCCCTTTTTTTTTTTTTTTTTTTTTTTTTTTACAATTTAATTATATTTAGGGAATAGCATGGCGCTGGCGCAGGGCAGGGCGCTGGCGCAGGGCAGGGCGCGGGCGCAGGGCAGGGCGCTAGCGCAGGCTGCAGCAGTGCGTGACGCGAGGGGCAGCAGAGCGCGACGCGACGGGCTGCCTTAGGGCGCGACGCGCGGGCTGCAGCAGAGCGCGACGCGCGAGGTAGCAGCGCGCGACTCGTGGGCTGCGTTAGGGCCCGGGCTGCAGGGGCAGGACGCACGGGCTCCAGGGGCGGTGTGCGGGCTCCAGGGGCGACGCGCGGGCTGCAGGGGCCGCGCGGACGGGCTGCAGAGGCGACGCGCGGCTCGGCAGGTCCGCGCGCGAGCTGTAGGGGCGGCGCGAACGGGCCGCAGAGGCGGCGCGCGGGCTCCAGGGGCGACGCGCGGGCTGCAGGGGCCGCGCGGACGGGCTGCAGAGGCGACGCGCGGCTCGGTAGGTCTGCGCGCGGGCTGCAGGGGCAGCGTGAACGGGCTGCAGAGGCAGCGTGAACGGGCTGCAGGGGCAGCGTGAACGGGCTGCAGGGGCAGCGTGAACGGGCTGCAGGGGCGCCGTACGGGCTGCAGGAGCGACGTACAGGCTGCAGGGGCAGCACGCGGGCCACAGGGGCAGGCGCGGCTGCAGGGGCAGCACGGTAGCAGGGGCGAGCACGGCTGCAGGGGCAGCACGGTCGTAGGGGCGAGCACGGCTGCAGGGGCAGCGCGGTCGCAGGGGCAGCGAACGGGCTGCAAGGGTCGCGACAGTGAGAGCTAGGGGCGCCAGCGCGCTGGCTACTGTATAGGGAGTGGCGCTACCACTAGGCGGAACGGTGGGCCCATGTAGGAACGGTTCCTACTCTGATAACATGTCAAGAATAGAACTAGGAATGAATGATGGACTAGGTGGCATGCATGAGTACAAGTACCTAACCCTAAAGTGTTGTACCCCTTGTAGGCTAACCCACTATAGCCTATAGATAACACAAACATACAGTTTGACACTATGATGCCGTCGTTGCTGCTCGTCGCTGCAAATTCGACGTGACAACGAGCTTCACGAGGCCCGCTCGTGTTTGGGGCGGCCCTGTTCCTCTCCATGCCAGGCATTGATTGGGCGGCGCCATCTCTGGCTGCGCTTGAGCGCTGTCCCACGCTGTCGTGATGTGACGGTATGCCGGATGAAATAACAATCGGCTCATCCGATTGCACAGGTGCATTTGCAGGTGTCGGTGTTGGTGCATTCGTCGTTGATTGCTGGCGGGCGGAGTCGCGTTCCGCCGTGAGTGTCGCGATTTCGAGCGCCGAATCTTCGAGTTGGCGTACGAGCCGGTCGAGCTGCTCCTGCGTCAACGTCACGAGATTGAGTTCGGCCATGGCGGAGGTGTCGGGCGAGCTCAGCGAGAGCCTCAGTCGTGGCCGTGCGTGCTTACGAGAGAGCACTCGAGCGGCGGTGCTTGGTCGCTGAGAGACGTCTACCCCCCCCCCCCCCCCCCCCCCCCCAAAAATTGAGATAGTGGGGAAGCGAAGGTGTGGGTGCGGTCCGAGAAGAGATCGTAGGCTCTGATACCAAGTGTTACGAGTGCACTTGAGCGAGCGAGCGAGAATTGCACTATCGTAGCAAAAACAGTACATTGAGCGAGGGCATGAGCGAAGAATATATAGCGAAGCTAGCGTGGTAACGGTAACGCGAGAAATTGGGGTGCGCTACGGGCCCAGCGCAAAGGTTGGGAAATGTCGAGGCGGAGGACCGGAGCGCGGGTTACCAACCGAACCGTGAGGTTGGGTCGCAAGGTGTACAGTGGCGGGAACAGTGGTCGAGGCGAGTGTCGCGAGTGGGTAACGTTTTACTGTGGGGTGCTGGTGGCGGGAATAGTCATGTACGCGGTAAGCAGGGGCGCGAAGTAAGGAAAAGCAATTTTCCGTACAACTGGCAATAAAAGACTAGTTAACCCTTTCGCCAAATACCGTACTGAATTCGCATTTGGAGAACCCATCATTTTATTCGGGGCAACTCATAGAATAATTTATGCATGTGTTTCACACATCTCATCATAAGGGTAGCTTTTATTTTTTTCTCCTTTTCTTCTCCACTTTGATCTCTCAACCTGGATTGTGCAATTTCAGATCGTTCCACCGAGTCGTAGCTGAGAACGTGACTGGAGAAATGTGACGGCATAGGACACACCCTGGCGGCAGGTGGTTCCGTTCCATTTGTCTTTGGTGGCTCACGTTCAACGCAGGCCAAAGCCCAGCGAAAAGAAGGTAAAACCGTGGTTGACGAAAAGAAGGTGAACGACGAATGTGGTACACTGACGATGTAAGCGATGTAACTGCACACTTCATTCACTTGCCGCTAAAGTTGACGAGTTCTGCAAGTTGCGACTAAAGTTTCGCAGCTAGCCTTCGCGAAACACTCTCATATCCGTTTGAAAGGGCTGGCGAAAACATCTCTACACTACCACTACTCACTCACCTCTCACCCATCCTCCATTTCGTTTCGTGCACGATTTCCTCCATACCTAATTAGGGTTCCACGACACCTCTTCCCTAGTAGTAACCCTAGGAGGCGCTGGTCCAGTAGCAAACCGCACATAGCAGGCGTAGTTAGCGACGGCGTGCACGGCGAGCGACGCCGTCAGATGCGGCGAGAATGTCCGATGGACTGCTCGGCTTCGCTCATCTCATTAATCGCCCCAGCGAGTCAGGCTGGCAATCAGACAGCTCCACACCGAAAGAGTCTAAGGTTTTCACAACATGCACAACCGTTTTAGGGCCGTTACTAGAGGGTTACCCGCCGGACTCGTCGGCGAAGCACGAGGATGCGGCGAAACACTCGTTTAGTCTTAAGAAGCTGTTTGGAGCGAAGTCGGGAAAGTCCAAAGAGGAGGAGGCGAAAGCGCGAGACGCGGAGATTAAGTTTGTCTTGCAGGCCGACGCGACGCCGTTAGCTTCGGTTCCGAAGCAAATAAGTCTGCCTCGTCCGACGACTCCCGAACTAACGCAGGTACTGTTTGGCCCAGCCTGCAACAGGTACACCGATCGTCCGGGATTGCGACGGGATTGGCCGAGTTACCGAAGCTGGCCTTATCGCTGCATTTCGCTGCTGGTCGCAGAGAGTACATGAAACGAGGTGGTCCAATGGCGAGAACATTTTTTACTAACCCGTTCTCCGTCTTAGGATCGTTTCTTATTCCGCTTCCTGTAGGCCGTTGCGTCGTTTCGCCGTATTTCTCGCCGCTCGGCTTCCGCATTGTAAGCAATATTCCCTCCCGCATTGCTTGCTGGAAGGATAGGTAGTTACACACCTCACAATGCGAAGATCGCGTCGGCTAGGAAGTTTTTTACAGATGAAATGTTGATGCAGCCTAATTTATGACGCGCGGCCGTTTGCGGGGTTCGCAATTTTCAACAACCCTTAGTAATGCTTCTATGTTAAGCGCACCGGTTTTTGAGACAAAATATGTACGATGCCTTTTTTGTTTTTTGTTTTTGTTTTTTTTAATTTATTTCCGGCGTTCGAAATGCCCGTACGCGCGCGTATTGAAATATGGACTTCCCCTTAATTTTTTCCCGTTCTGTCGTCCTTACGCTCGCATTGCCTCACTTTAGAGGCGCCCCATAACGGACATGGCCGCTCTGCTGCCCATACCCTTACATTGCTCCCATCCCAATAGCGCCGAGTTGACTCTTGAGTCGACTCAAAAGTCGACATGGCCGCTCTGCCGCTCATACCCTCACATTGCTCCCAGCAATGCTGTTCCTCTTGCGATTTTCCTCCCGTCGGCGTCCCTAACCCCCCGTCGCCTCTGCTTTCCACCCGGGGCTTTCTCCTTGCCCTTAATGTCTTCCTTACCCTGACGTTCGCGTCTCCCTCGCCCCTCCCTTCGCGTCTCCCTCGCCCCTTCTTTCCCCCCTCATCCCTCCCTTTGATTGCGCGCCTCCTTTCTGGTATCTCTCAACCCTCCTTGCACCTCCCTTCGCGTCCCTCTCACCCCTCGCGTGCTTCCATCGCCCCTACCGTGCGCCCGACACCACTCCGCCAGCGCTCCCCACCAGGAAGGAACGTGCTGACGAAGTAACAGCAGCGACCGCCGCCTGCAGCTCACCCCTCCCTTCGGGTCTCCCTTCTTCCCCCCCTCATACCTCCCTTTGATCGCACTCCTCCCTTCGCGTCCCTCTCACCCCTACCGTGCGCCCGTCACCGCTCCGCCAGCGGACCACCAGGAGCGTGCCGAAGAAGTAACAGCAGCGACCGCCGCCTGCAGCTCACCCCCTCATACCCCCCTTTGATCGCGCTCCTCCCTTCGGGTCTCTCTCACCCCTCCCTTCGCGTCCCTCTCACCCCTACCGTGCGTCCGTGACCGCTCCGCCAGCGCTCCCCACCAGGAAGGAGCGTGCTGACGAAGTAACAGCAGCGACCGCCGCCTGCAACTCACCCCTCCCTTCGCGTCTCCCTCACCTCTTCCTTACCCCCAATCTTAATGCACCACGAGGGACGTGTTAATCAAGCACATAGCAGCCTGGGGCGACCACTATTCACTCCTCCTTGGCGCCTCCCTCGCCCCTCCCATCCTGTCTCTCTCACTCCTCCCTTGCTTTCCCGTGCGCTGCCATTTCTCTTTTCTCATCCCTCCGAGAATCAACGCACCACGAGGGACGTGTTGAAGAAGCACATAGCAGCGCCGGGCGGCTAGCACTCCCCCCTCCCTTGGTCCCTCTCTCCGACCCTCCCATCCTGTCACCGTCACCCCTGCCGTAACCTGCCATTGCTCTCCACCCCTCCCGTGCTTCCTCTCAGAACCAACGCACCACGAGGGACGTTCTCAAGAAGTACATAGCAGCATCGGGCGGCTACAACTCGCCCCTTCCGTCGCGTCTCCCTCACCCCCTGTGTCTCGCACACCTCCCCTGCTCCCCTTCCCTCCCATGCTCCCTCCCAGAACCAACGCACCACGAGGGACGTGTTAAAGAAGTACATAGCAGCATCGGGCGGCTATAACTCGCATATGGCGCAGCAGGGCTCCGTGATTTCCGGCCACGTCACCATCTGGGCGTCCGAGGTGGTCATGGGAGACAAGACGGTCTACGCCGCCCCGACCGCGGGCCGCGGCGGCGCTGACGTGGCGAAGGGAAGCTTCCGCGTGGTGCAGATGCCGCCCAACATGTGGCACGTGGGCGTGGCGATGGGCGAGACGCGGATTGACGCCACGTGTGACGGCGAGCTGGTGTGGCGGCGGAGCAGTTGGGGGCCGTCGACGACCGCTAAAGGGCCTGTCCGACCACTCAGGCACTTGCTAGCGGTATGTGTGGTCTTTAGAGCGGTCGAGTACGGTTGAGTGCGGTAGAGTGCGTTTGAGTACGCTTTGAGTGGGTGTGCAGGGTGGGTTGGGGAGGTAAGGCCGTGTGACGGCGAGCTGGTGTGGCGGCGGAGCAGTTGGGGCCCCTTGACCACGGCTAAGGGGCCTGTGTGACCACTCAGGCATTTACTAGCGGTATGTGTGGCCTTGACTGCGGTTGAATGCGGTTGAGTGGGCTGTGAGTGAGCCTGTAAGGTGTGGTGGGGAGGGAAAGCCGTGTGGCAACGGAGCAGCTGGGGGTCTGTCTACAACAGCTTAAGGGCCTGTGCGACCACTCAGGCACTTGCTAGCGGTGGGTGTGGACTTTAGTGCGGTCGAGTGGGCTTTGAGTGGGTGTGCACGTGGGGTGGGGAAGGAATGCCGTGTGATGGCGAGTTGGTGTGGCAGCAGAGCAGTTGGGGCCCCTCCACGACGGCCAAAGGGCCCGTGTGACCACTCAGGCACTTGCTAGCGGTAGGTGCTGTCTTGAGTGCGGTTCTGTGCGGTTTGGTGTGGTATGAGGAAGGAAGCTGTGAGTTCGTGTGGTGGCGAGTTGGTGTGGCGGCAGAGCAGTTGGGGTCCGTCCACGACGGCCAAAGGGCCTTTGCGACCACTCAGACACTTGCTAGCGGTGAGCATGGTCTTGCTTGAGTGCGGTCGAGTGCGGTTCAGTGGGCGTTGGTGAGCTGGGAGGTTGGAGTTGTGAAGGAGGGCTGCAGGCAGAGCTGGTGTGGCGGCGGAGCAGTTGGAGGCCGTCGACCACGGCTAAAGTGCCACTCAGGCATTTGCTATCAGGGAGCACAGTCTTGAGTGCGATTGAGTGCGGCTCTCTGAGTGGTTGGAGCGGCTGGGCGCGGTCCACTGGACAAGGGGCCTGTGCGACGACTCAGGCGCTTGCTAGCGGTGGGTGCTGTGTTTGAGTGCGAAGAGTGGTCATCAGTGTGGTTAAGTGTGGTTGAGTGGGGTGGAGTGTGGCTCCGACTGGGCCTGATTGACTTTGAGCGGGGCTTGTAGAGTGGAATGGGGAGATATAGGAGCGACCAGAGCCAGTCTGGCGACGAGCAGCTGTTGCGGGTGGGCAGCAGTGGTATTTTCAGGCGTCTCACTCAATAGCCAACGGCTATATGTCAGCCACTCGCAGCAGTGGTTGCGACAGGTGTTGGGCTGTTGAAATCGTTGGGCCACTACATGCCAAGGGGACTGTTGGGCCACTGGTTGAGGTCCAAAAAGGGTCGGCTTATTGCAGGTCGTCGGTTCTGGTCCTGGCTGTGAGGAGTCGTATTGAAGTCAGTTGACAGAATTTAGTGGAGACGATGGAGGTGGTGTGTGTGGTTCTGGGTGATGCTGCTGGGTGGGATGCGGTAAGTGCCGCCTGGGGTGGGATTGGTTTGAGTGTGTTCTCCACATGAACCAATTGTTCCATACGAGGCAGCAGAACAATCTGTGTCTTCTAGCGAGAACACCATGGGATGAACGATCCAGGCTGTTGCTTCCATGGGGGCCAACTTGAAGCAGCTGGGAATGCCTGGAAGCGGTTTGAGGCGGTTTGAGGAGGGAAGTCAATCCCTTTCCACTCCTCTCCACTCCTTTCCCTCCACCACAGGGACTCGACCCGCCCACGGTCGCAGACGTGTTCGCCTCAAGCGAGTATCAGGGCGACGAGTGCTTCCCTGCACTCCTTTCCACCCCTCTCCACTCCCCCCTCCCCACCGGGCTCCTCCTTCCACCATCCTGCATCAGGGCCTGGATCCGCCCACGGTCGCAGATGTGTTTGCCTCAGGCGAGTATCAGGGCGACGAGGGCATAGCGGAGGGAAGTCCATCCTTCTGCACTCCTCTCCACCCCTCTCCACTCCCCCCACCGCCCCCCGGCAGGGCCTGGATCCGCCCTCGGAGGTGTTTGCATCGGGCGAGTATCAGGGCGACGAGGGCATGGAGGAAGGGAGCCTATCCCTCTCCACCTCTCTCCAATCCTCACCCCACCCCTCCTTTCACCCATCAGGGCCTGGATCCGCCTACAGTGGCGGACGTGTTTGCATCGGGCGAGTATCAGGGCGACAAAGGCATAGAGGAAGGCAATCCATCCCTCTCCACTTCTTCCCACTCCTCACCCCAACCCTTCCTTTCACCCATCAGGGCTTAGACCCGCCCACAGTGGCGGACGTGTTTGCGTCGGGCGAGTATCAGGGAGACGAGGCCATAGAGGGCGACGAGTGCATGTGCGTGAAGGTGATGGCCAACCCGCTCGCCCTCATGAGCATGAGCACGGGCGGGGGCAACGTGGGCGGCAAGCAGCAGGACGTGTGCGACGTGCTGGCGTACCAGGTGGAGGGATTCTTCAGTAAAGCCTCGGGGCTGCTGATCGGCCTGCGCGACCATCATCTCACCAAAACCAAGGTAAGGGGGAGGGCCTGGAGGGGTAGGGAGCAACGCAGCGGGCAGCAGGACGTGTGTGAGGTGCTGGCGGACCAGGTGGAGGGGTTCTTTAGTAAAGCATCGAGGCTGCTCGAGGGGCTTTGTGACCATCACCTTACCTAAACCAAGGGGGGAGTGGCTTGTAGGTGACGATGGGAGGGGTGTGAGGGGGAGTCAAGGCAGCAGGACGTGTGCGACGAGCTGGCGTATCAGGTGGAGGGGCGGTAGTAAAGTGCCGGGGCTGCCCCGTGATCTCTCTCGCCAATCCCTTCTCCTTCCCCTTCTCCTTCCCCTTCTCCTTCCCCTTCTCCTTCCCCTACTCCTTCCCCTTCTCCTTCCCCTTCTCCTTCCCCTTCTCCTTCCCCTTCTCCTTCCCCTTCTCCTTCCCCTTCTCCTTCCCCTTCTCCTTCCCCTTCTCCTTCCCCTTCTCCTTCCCCTTCTCCTTCCCCTTCTCCTTCCCCTTCTCCTTCCCCTTCTCCTTCCCCTTCTCCTTCCCCTTCTCCTTCCCCTTCTCCTTCCCCTTCTCCTTCCCCTTCTCCTTCCCCTTCTCCTTCCCCTTCCTTCCCCTTCTCCTTCCCTCCTCCTTCCCTCCTTCCCCTTCTCCTTCCCCTTCTCCTTCCCCTTCTCCTTCCCCTTCTCCTTCCCCTTCTCCTTCCCCTTCTCCTTCCCCTTCTCCTTCCCCTTCTCCTTCCCCTTCTCCTTCTCCTTCCCCTTCTCCTTCCCCTCCCCCTTCCCCTCCCCCTTCCCCTTCTCCTTCCCCTTCTCCTTCCCCTCCCCCTTCCCCTTCTCCTTCCCCTCCCCCTTCCCCTTCTCCTTCCCCTCCCCCTTCCCCTTCTCCTTCCCCTCCCCCTTCCCCTTCTCCTTCCCTCCCCCTTCCCCTTCTCCTTCCCCTCCCCCTTCCCCTTCTCCTTCCCCTCCCCCTTCCCCTTCTCCTTCCCCTCCCCCTTCCCCTTCTCCTTCCCCTCCCCCTTCCCTTCACTCCATTTCCCCTTTCCTGTCCCTTCCCCCTCCCCATCCCCCCTCCCACGCTTCCACTCCCCGTCCCTCCCCCCACACAGACAGCGAGCAACAGCACGATCTCCTGGGGCAGACTGATGGTGATGCGGGTGGGGGACTTTCAGCCCATGGAGGGAGGCATGATCATCCCCACAGCACCCGCCCCGACCTCTCTCTCGCCAAACGTTCCCGATCTCCTTCACCTTCTCCATCACCTTCCCCTTCCCCTTCCCCTTCTCCTTCCGCCTTCCCTTCACTCCATTTCCCTTTTCCTGTCCCTTCCCTTCCCCCCTCCCCCTCCCCCTTCTCCCCCAACACAGACAGCGAGCAACAGCACGATCTACTGGGAGAGGGTGATGGTGACGCGGGTGGGGGACTTTCACCCCATGGAGGGCGGCATGATCGTCCCCCACAGCGGCCGCTCCGTGCTCTCTCTCGCCAAGCGCTGCGATGACGACACGTCGGGAACGATACGCGCGTGGGTGAGAGAAGAGTGGGGCGTGGACTCGGTCACACAGGACGCCACGGCCATGCAGGGGTTGCTAGCACGGCCGGCGGATTTGATAATGACTGCTAGTTCCGCGTCTTTGCATAGAGGGTGATTTGGGAAAGTGGACCTGAGAAGCTGGGGGGATTTCGGCTGTGTGATTGGGTATGGATGGGTTAATACTGTAGGATGAGCGGCAGACTTTATTATGACTGCCAGCTCGGTTGTATTTGTTAGAGGGTAATTATTGCCTGAGGTGAAACGGTAAAAGGTTATTGTGGGCAGGTTGGGAGGATGAGGAAGTGGCTGAAAGAGTTGGTCGGGTGGGTTGTAGTTCGCTTTCGATTGTGATTCAGTTTGTTAGAATGGGGTTTTACTGAAGGTTTAGCAGGTCAGGGATGATGACATGTTAGTACTAAATCTCGCATGGATGCAAGCTTGTTTTGCATGACTCTGGTTGTAGTAGCATTTTGAATGGACGATTTTATCGAGCCACTTCCATTTGGTGTCCGAAGTGCTTTACAGCAGTGAATGCATGCGAAGCAGACATCAGTTACAGCATTTATAGTGTACAGTGTGAAGTTCAGCGACATGCATAACACATGCTCTGGAAATGCTCGTGCCTCACCGCTTTCACGCCGCAGCGCGCATTCGCGCGACAGCATCGCACGTGGAGTTGCCATGTCACACCCGTCTGAACAGATCTTTCAAGCCGAAGTGGCTTTGTTGCAGTCTCTGCCCAAACCAGTGGAATGTCCCTGCGCTTTTCAACAAATTACTGTTTTGACAACAAAATTTGGTGCGCTCCAGTTCAGGAAAGAGCATATCACCAGTGCATTCGGGCGCGGTGCACACTAGATCTGCTTAAAAACGTTGCCGTTTCTTGTTTGCTGCTCAGGAGGGACACGACCTGCTTCCACCGTGTCAATTGCCTTGCCGTGTCAGCGCCTCACTGGCATGTCAGTGGAAGAAAACTCGCGAGATTTCGCTCCACGTCAACTTGCTGCACGCACTCACGTTCAGCCACAATGATGAGGCCTGATCTGACGATAGGGGGGGCTTGAGTTTTCCCTCTTTGAAACATTTCTTCGTCGCTGAGAGCTTGGACTAGATACTCGAGAGACCGATATATTACAGCCGCATCTACTGATTAGGCTATATTATTTCACAAGATTATATCAGCAAGGGTGAAAAAACCTTTGGCTTTGGCCACTCCGAACCGAACACGCTCACACAGCTGCTGCAGCATTCTTCTTCCCAATTTACTCATTGCATTGCGCGTCTCGTTTGTCGGCAAGTGCTGTCAATGACAGGGCACTGATTCTCGTCGAAAAAATGTGACTGTAGAGCTAAGCAAACCAATACACCGGATCCTCATCTGTTGCACGCACATTTGCACATACTCTTCTCGACAGCCTGCCTTTTGTCCAATCGATTTTGATCGCAGCCGTTGATCACACGGCTTATTACGCTGTCATCCGTCCCTTCGTGAGATGTTTTGAGATGTTACCCGCAGTCCCACTATAGTCCCAACTTTCCAGGTGAGTGCTTGCTATGAACCCCCGGGTTAGTAAAGGTTACGTGCGTCGAATGAGCATCAGGTGTATCAGACGGCGGGCCAGACCACCCAGCCGAGGCCAACCTTCGTCAGATCAGAGAACTCCTTTCATCGCGACCCTCCATTCATGGCTGACCTTCAGACAGGTTGTACAGCCCAAACCAGAATCCCAGATCCCCCTACGTGTATTTTGCCCCTGCTCCGACTCGAGTCCAGACCAGACCAGAATGGGGTTCAAGTTGCTCCGGCAACCATTGGGATTTGAGAACTGTTCCGCTCCACCCGCTTGCCGCGGCGAATTTCTCGGTCCCTCCGTTCCCTTCCATTCGCCCCAGTCCAGCAGATCCCGCTCGTTCCTTCCACCACTGTACCCCACCTCAACCTCCCCCACACGCAACCGGCGGTTCCCTTGGCACGATCACCTCACCACCACCACCACGACCACCACCACCAAGGCCCTGTTCGGCAGGCGTTAAAAAGGCATTAATAACAGGCTCGGGGACCGGCTACAGTGAAACGATAAGCGAGCGATCGGTTATCAAGGTTCGAGATAGGCGGTTTGATGTCGAACCTGAGCGCGTTAAAAAGCCTGCCGAACAGCCTTTTTAATGCCTGCGTTTTTAGCCATACGATGGTTCCAGGAAACCGTTTCCCCTGGCAAAGTGGCGCACCACTGATCCGCTGCATGGTGCATGGCCGAGAGCTTACATCATGCGGGGAATCAGTGATGCGGCCAATCATATGCGACTGGTCGAATTTGCTGGCCAATTATATGATTGTTCGAAGGTGCATTTCACCTTGACCGTGTCAAGCCAGTTCGGCCAATTGGACTGTCCTTCAAGCATCCAGCAACCTCGAATTTACATTGAAAGACTTGTTACGGTACAACTCCCTCACGATCAGCATCTGTGCGAGGTTGTACTTCGGCAGGCAGACCTTCATCACCTGCAGGGCGAGAGGGTACGGTACGATGCCGCCATGGATTCCTCCGCGTAACTTCGGAAGCCTGTTACGTGAAGGTTACCTATCAGTTGGTAACAATGAGCACAGTTCTACATTCCTGAGTGCATTGCGAAGCAGAAGATATTTTTATCGTGTCCATCCCGCGGACATTTTATCTTCAGCTACTCGGGTCAGGCTCACTGTTTCAACGTTTTATCAAGATCAACTATTACCTAGGCTTCAAGACATTGAATTCAACAATGACGTCAAGGTTTTTTCCGCACACAACTACCAAGGCTGCAATTTACAAGATAAGAGTTACAACTTGGATCAGGCTGCTCATGATCCCAAGGTCTCAACAGCGGGATCTCAGCACATCGCTCGGGAGATCAGAGCCCGAGCTTTCGGGATATTATTTAAGGAGGTGGTGCTCAGTTTCTTGGCAGCTCAAGTTTCTGTGTTCATTATTCCCATCCTGAAGCTTTTTCCATCACGACTGCTGCTTTTTTGGTTTCATCACTGCACCATGCCTCCTAAGGGTCGTCCAGCGAAGGCTCCTGTTGAGGTCACGCCGCCTGCTCCTGACTCTCCGGTCGTGCCGTCGCCTGACTCTCCTGTCTCTCGTGATGGAGTAAATGTCCCGCGGACTGACAAGATCGCTGTTTCGGGACCTGCGGGGAAGAATGGTTCTGGAAGCACGGACAACAATGATGCGGTTAACGTCTCCCTCCCGTCTGCTGCTGCTGTCGATGCTGCTATCGCTGGCTGCTCTGGTTTAACTGTGGAAGAAAAGGCGAGCATGCAGCAAGTCGCAGGAGGATCAGATGAGGGTTTCCTGGAGGATGATTCGGATGAGGAACTCGACATTGACATTGCAAAAGAGGCTGCTTTCCGTCTTCGCTTTATTGCAATCCTTCTGATCCCAATGGCGCTGTCTCAGGATGTTGAAGCTATCATTGCTGCACTCCGTGTTCTAATGAAGAAGGTCTGGAGCAGTTCACTTACAGAGAATGCGGGAGTCACTGCTAATATCCAGGAGATGTCACCTGGTTATGTGGCCAAGACTCGCTTCTGCCGTCTTCATATTTCTTTCCTCGACGAGCGTGACGCACATCACATCAAGTTTCATACCTTCGAATATCAGAAGACGAACGGCCCGTCGGTGAAGTGTCTCTGGCAGCATACTGAGGACTCCTCTTACCTCAGGGAGAAGTCGTCTAACCCGCTCGCGATTGAAGTTCTCTTTAAGCGGGTCCCTGCTAACATTGTACCTGACGTGCTTAAAGATCTTCTTGTCCGTTTCAAGCTTAAAATGAGGAAGCAGTCGGCTTTCAAGGACGGTTTCTGCTTCCATCGAGTGGCTCACCCGCTGACCGGCGCAGACACTGATGTGGTGAAGGGACTGGTCATTCAGCACCCTGGGGACCGGTACCGCTGGCGCCATATTGTTGACAACCCACTGGAGGTCGGCGCGAAGCTGCTGATTCACTATCCTGAGTTGTCCTGTTCTCTCTGCGGCGGACAGCATTATGAGATTTATCATGATCTGTTCGTCACCGAGAGACAGAACAATATAGGGAAGTGGTCACTGACCTTGGGAAATATCCATCGCATCAACGGTAACTGCACGGATCAGTTTACAGCTCACGACTCACCTTTTCCTTTTCTTACGCTTACTGACGAATCTGCTTGCTGTCGCAGCTGCTTCCTTGCGTACTTCCGCACTGATCACCCCCATTCTGAAAGATCCTGCTGTTGCTCTTATCTCCACCGGTGGGAACCGCGAAGAGTGGATCTGCACGCAAGTCTGCTGCGGGAAAGCAAAAGGGAAAACTTTCATGGCTGCCTCAGACCACATTGCATCTGCATCTCATCTGCTGAACCTGGAGAAGCTGGGTACTGCGACCAAGTTCACACTCGACAAGATGATCCTCAGCAATCTGAAGAAGGAGTATGGGGTCTGAGTCGAGCCGAGCAGGGTGTTTTCATTGCAATAGCCGTTTGGGTGTCCGTTGTTGGAGTAGTTCTCGTTACCAGCCTGTGGATGAAGCGGGGCTGCCAGATGGTGAATAAATGAGTAACAAAAACTTATTCTCCTTAGCAGGCTTGAATGTCAACGGCCTTGGCGATCTGACAAAGCAATCTAGAGTAACCTCATGGACAAGAACAGCAGCAGACGTACTGATTCTCTCGGACACCAGACTGCCTGACGACCATCCTTACTGGAAGACAACCTCTTTCTCCACAGTCCTAACCACCCCCCCAACTGCTAAAGCGGGAGGTGTGGCGGTGCTCACTAGGAACCCATCTATCACCATACATAAGATCTCCACTCACCCTTCTGGCAGACTGATAACCGCTGAAGTCAGTCGGCCCGGTCTCACTTTAACTCTTTTAGCCACATACTTCCCTGCTGACACAACTGATCGTAGCTCCTTTTTAGCCAATGTCATCGGCCCTGCCATAGATCTTGTTCCACCCACAGCGCACGTTGTCCTGATCGGGGACCTGAACACAGTGGAAGACCCGTTTTTAGACAGGACATCACAGTCAGGATCGTCACTAGAAAACGACAGACTTATCTCGCGATGTAGCCGCTTTCAATTCTCGGGCGC